CCCCAATCCCTCACCCCCTAATCCCGCACCCCCATTCCCGTACCCCCAATCCCCCTGACCCCAATCCCGCACCCCTTTCCCGCACCCCAAATCCCGCACCCCCCGTTCCCCCGGTACCTGCCGAGCCCAGCAGCGCCGCGCCCGCCCAGCCCAGCATGAAGGACCAGGAGAAGCTCCAGGAGCTGCGGAGCGGCCCCAGCAGCTCCAGGGTCCCCCCCGAGCCCAGCCCGAGCCCCAGCAGCGCCAGCAGCCCTGGGGGGGCGCGGGGGGCTCAGCCCGGGGGGCTCCGCTCACTGCCGCCCCCCAAATTCTCACCCAGCCGAGCGCCGTCCCCGCTCAGCCCAGCCATGGGGACAGTCCCCAAACCCCCCCGGGTGTCCCCACGTACCCGCCAGCAGCAGGGTGGCCCCGGCCACTCGTGTCCGCGCCCGCCGGCCCCCGCCGGTCCCCACGGACAGGCCCAGGGCGAGACCGGCGGCGGCGGCGACCACCGAGAGCAGCATCAGCACCCGCGTGGCCTCCAGGAGGGCTGGGGAGGGGGACACGGCTTGGGGACACCGCGGGGACACGCGGGGTGACACCCCCCAAATGCCCACCCTGCGTGGGGACACCCGTGGGGACAGCTCTGGGGTCGTGGGTTACTCGCGGGTGGGACCCTCTGGAGGGGAGGGGACACGGGGGACACCCCCAGGGGACGCCGCGGGGTGGGGATTTTGGGGACGGCTCAGTGCAGGGATGGACCCCCCCCCAAATTCCCGCCCTGCTGGAGCCCCCGGGCGTACCTGGGGTGGTGGCGTGGGGGTGGCACTGTCCCCCGAGGCAGCCGTGCCACAGCCCCAGGCTGGCCGTGCCCCCCGGAGCCCGGCGCTGCACCCAGAAATGGGTGGCGGTGGCGGCCACCAGCAGGGCCAGGCCACTGGCCCCGCACAGCAGCCCCCCGGCCACCGGCATCCCTGCGGGGACACGGGGACAGCGTGGGGACAGCAGTGGGGACACGGGGACAGCGGCAGGGACACGAGGACAGCAGTGGGGACATCTCTGGGGAACGTGGGGACAGCCCTGGGGACATCTCTGAGGGGCACGGGGACAGCGGCAGGGACAGCAGTGGGGACACGGGGACATGGCATGGGGACAGCGTGGGGACACGGGGAAAGCGTGGGGACAGCGTGGGGACAGCCGTGGGGCTACGTGGGGGGTGGCATCTCCGAGGGATGTTGGGGACACCCATGGGGACATTCCTGGGGTTAGGGGCTACACGGGGGTGGCACCTCTGGGGACACGGGGACCCTCTGCAGAGGAGGGGGACACCGGAAAGGGGACCCAGGGGTGGGGACATCGGGGACACTGGGGGACACCGGGGACATTGGGGACATCGGGGACAGCCCCCCCGGCACTCACCCGCCTTCAGCAGCCGCTGTGCCGCTGCCCCATGGCCACCTGTCCCCGTGTCCCCGCGCTGTCCCCCGGGAGGGGACAGGGCCCCTGGCACGTGGCCCTGCCATTGTTGGGGACACAAAGGGGGAAGGCTCTGGGTGGCTGCTGAGGTGGCACGAGCGAGGTGGCACGAGCTTGTCCCCAGCCGGGTGACACCGCGGGGGAGGGGGGACGGCGACACAGACGGGTCCCGACAGCGCCTTGGGGACAGCGGGTGACATCCCCGCGGGCAGGGCCAGCCCGGACCCGGCTGGAGAGGGGACATGGGGACAGCGGGGACACTGGGATGGGACACTGGGGACGTGGGGGACAGCGGGGACACTGGAGACATTGGGGTCAAGGGGACAAGGACACCGGGGACATTGGGGACATGGGGACATGGGGACACTGGGATGTGGAGAACAAAGGGGACACCGGGGGCGGGAGGACACTGCGGACACTGGGGATGGGGACACTGGGGACACACACAGGTGTCAGTGCCCGCGGGCCGGTGGCAGCAGGAGGACAGTGGTGACAATGACGGTGACAATGACGGTGACAATGATGATGATACCGGAGCAGGGGGGACTGCAGGGGGTACCTCGGGGGGGAGGGGGGGGCTGCACCCCCAAATCCTGCAGAGCCCCCCGGGGCCCCCAGGGTGTCCCTGTCACCCCCGTGTCCCACACGAGGTGTCCCCATGTCCCATCCAGGGTGTCCCTGTCACCCCCGTGTCCCCCCCTGCTTGTGTCCCCCCTCCCCAGGATGTCCCTGTCGGCCCCCCCCCCCAGGGTGTGGCCCCCCCACCCTCTCAGGGTGTTCCTGTCCCCCGATGTCGCAACAGCCCAACCCCACCCCCACCCCATCACCGCCCCCGGGACCCCCGGCGCAGGAAGGGACCCCCCAGTGCCACCCCCCAGTGTCACCCCCTCGATGTCACCCCCTCGATGTCACCCCTCCAGTGCCACCCCCCCAGTGTCACCCGCCCGGGGGGGGACACCGGGCTCTCCCGCCGTGCTCGGGGAAAGCCACACCTGGAGCTCAAGTGCCACCACCGGCCCTTTATTCGGGACCCCAGGGGGACCCCCCATCCTGTCCTGACCCCCCCACGGTGTCCGGACCCCCCCACGGTGTCCCCCACTCCTGTCCCCATGGTGTCCCCCATTCTGTCCGGACCCCCCCTCTGTC